GTGTCATAAAATACGAGGAAATCTTAGCCTTCTATATTGTGCGAAAGAATCTGACTTCGCACTGAGAAACAATTGTAGCATCCCAATATGATGTTTTCTTCCTATGACATCGTTGCACCGACGACGACGAGACTAGTTAGTCCAGTCATTTGGTAGTTTTACCTGGAAAGTTTTCCGGGAGTTTTGAAAATTGGTAATTTTATATATTTTGATGTGCTCTTTCCGAATTTCAACTTTGCCACCTCGTATCTTTGCCGCTCGCGCCGCTATATTGGAAAAATGGCGCCTAAAAGCAGTTTTTTTGACAATATCTCCTTTCCGACTCATTCCACGATAAAAACATTTATATACAAAATAAAACTAGAGAAAATTTCCTACAATTTATGTAATAACCTTTTTTTTCGTAAAATTAATAGTTTTGGCATACGAGCGCCGCAAAGTGTAGTTCAACACGCGTTTTGGCCTAAAAACTCATTTCCACACCACCTTGAGGTAGAGTAAGCGGCGCGTTTTTTTTTACCGTGGTATCCCCAGTAGGCCTAGTCCACATGCAATTCACTATTCTAAAATTTAGCGCATTCTTCTTCGCTTCGCTGTTCTTGATGGACCAGGTGTTGCGAGTTCATCGTCATTAGTACTGATCGAAACGTCACAGACCGAAATTTCTTCCACATCATCCGCGATGGGATTATCAGTTTCATCGCAATCCTCTTTGTTCTCGATTTCATCATACGTTTGCTCGAAAATAATCTCCGTTTCTTCCTCTTCGTCGCTATCTTGTGATGGAACTTGCAAGTTAATTATCACAGATACCACTACAATTCGTGCATATAACTGAGCACTTTAACCCAGCCTTTCTGCATTCACAGGCTTTTTGACATCTTTTTTGACATCTTTTTTATTTATTTATTTAGTGCTCCGTTATATGCACGAATTGTAGTGGTACCTGTGATAACTCGCAAGTTCCATCACAAGATAGCGACGAAGAAGAAGAAACGGAGACTATTTTCGAGCAAACGTATGATAAAATCGAGAACGAAGAGGATTGCGATGAAAATGATAATCCCATCGCGGATGATGTGGAAGAAATTTCGGTCTGTGACGTTTCGATCAGTACTAATGACGATGAACTCGCAACACCTGGTCCATCAAGAACAGCGAAGCGAAGAAGAATGCGCTAAATTTTAGAATAGTGAATTGCATGTGGACTAGGCCTACTGGGAATACCACGGTAAAAAAAACGCGCCGCTTACTCTACCTCAAGGTAGTGTGAAAATGAGTTTTTAAGCCAAAACGCGTTGAACTACACTTTACAGCGCTCGTACGCCAAAACTATTAATTTTACGGAAAAAAGGTTATTACATAAATTGTAGGAAATTTTCTCTAGTTTTATTTTGTATATCAATGTTTTTATCGTGGAATGAGTCGGAAAGGAGATATTGTCAAAAAACTGCTTTTAGGCGTCATTTTTCCAATATGGCGGCACGAGCGGCAAAGATACGAGGTGGCAAAGTTGAAATTCGGAAAGAGCACATCGAAATATATAAAATTACCAATTTTCAAAACTCCCGGAAAACTTTCCAGGTAACCTCTTCTTTTACGACCAAATGACTGGACTAAGTGGCTGCCGAGGTTTTTGGCAAAGGCTACTGCAGTTCATCCTCCGTAACAATCGCGAACGCGCCAAAGCGTTTCATCTCCCCTCTCTGTCGAGTTGTACCATTGCGTTTCTCTTTTATTTCGGTAACTTGAATGTCTTCCAGGTCTTCCAGACCGAAAAGAATTTTTATCATCGTTGTTATAACACGGTTGTGTATAGATATATATAGCCTCGAAAATCGCGCTGCTTGGTAACACTCAATTCAAGTTATTTCTTATATTATTCTAAGATGTAAATGTAAATATCTTCTTTATTGCAAATAGAATTATAAAATTGTATTAAATATTTAAAGATTGTATTTATCACGATAGCTGCGAAAGCGAGAAGAAAATATATATCTAGTATTCCTGGAAAGTAAAATTGAAAATTGTTTAAAAATTCTTAAACGATAATCGTGGAGTAGAAATAGATTTTCTACGCGCAACGTATTCCATATTTCCATGTAACATGTAAAACGTTTGTTCCATTCCCGGGGGAAACGAATAATCGGTCGGGGGCAACGGAATAATCGAGAACACCGGTCTCTCTATATCGGTCTCTCGTAATCTGCGCGCGCTCTCGTTTCGCCGAGCCTGGAAAGTCCGACATTAGTATCGTGCAGCGGATGCAATTTAACGGTAACACTACGATTTGCATAATCGGCCGACATCGCAACATCCCACGGCGATTCGATTCAACGACGATTGTTACCGACAAAGAAAGTGTTGATACGCTCGTTTTCTCTTACAATCGTACGAAACCTCAGAAAGTTGTCGAACACGAGTGAAACTGGGCCGATCCGCTGCTCGTTTTCGTCAGCATCATTGACGAAGTTAAAAGAAGTAGGTTATTTGATCTGCAAAGTGTTCCTATTCTTATAACATTTTAGCGGATTCTTTGACAAATTTAAACATTACTTTTTCTCAGGTAAATTACAGAAAGATGTCGTTTTAACATTTAATTCAAAGACTCGGTACTTAAATATTGAATTAAAATTTCGCCGAAGAGCAGCGGACTCGCGTAGGCGGCCAAGATCAGAAAGCTGAGCGCGACCACGTCGTATTCGTGCGGGAACATGTAATCCGAGTACTGTGGCAAATTTTTAATCACGCTCAACAGCACGTACGGTGACCAGCAGATTAGGCCCATTACGATTACCAGCGCGCTGATTCTGGGGTCTCTTCGCGATACCTGAACAGGGAGCCGTTGCTAATCCGGTGCTTGAGAGTGTTGATGTAGCTGCTGGTGCTGCGTACACTGGCCACCCGGTGCAACGTGCCCGGCTTGCCCGGAGCTGGCGTGATCGTCACGATGGGTGTCAGAAGGCAAGACGAGGGCTCCAAACTATTGTTCCCGATGTTTTCCGCGTTTCTACCAATCGCGTACGATTCCACATTGACGTCAAAGATGCCCGGTCTCGACAAACGGCGACTGGGTCGTCTGGATCTCTTGTTCTCCAAATTACCGCTGGGATTCGGGACCTCGTTTTGCATTATTTGCTCGCGTTCCGTCATCTTGACAGAGATCTCCTCATCGTCGACGCGACGAGTCGTCCTCTTGAAAGAGTCCCGTTCGAGATCTTCCACGTCATCACGCGGTTCCTCTGTCCTCTCGCACTTAGCGACCGAAGACAGGAGGTAATCGGAGGGCCTTCGATCCGTGATCTTGCGAGTTGTTTTAGGAACTTTCAAAGAATCGAAGTAATTTTAAAGATGAAAAATCAATTTGTATATAAACCGATAATAAATTTTTATAATTTTATTGCACTCACAGGGATTTTAAAAACTTTGGCATTTTGATCTCTTATTTCAATTATTTATACCTCGTAAACATATTTCATACCTTGGACGTTCGTCGAAAATTAATTAATGTTGATTTCAGAAAAAGGAACAACTTTATCATACAAATATATATTGAGGTTTTTTCGCAACTGCGATCGTTTAATTAAATGTACGCATACGTTTCGAGATACGAGTAGCAGGTGGGATGTAGTGTGTATCGTAATTTCCTGTCGAGAAACTTCCGATTGGCAGTCGCAGGCGTATAAACCAATGCCCCCAAGGGTTTTATTCGTCTAACTTAGATGTAGCTCGCTTGCAACTGACGTCTCCACGTCTCGACGCGACCTAATCGCGATCCCGATCTATGTTTAGCGAACGTATGTCTCAACGCGGAACCGTACAGTTGAGAACCGTCGAGGTCTGGCGTCTTCAACGAAAACCGAATCTATTCCCGGCCTAACAATGGCCCACAGTTTTCACGCCATTGGGTAGCTCCGTTTATGAGATTCAGTTCTCAGAAAAAACGTCTGGCTGTGCTGGAATGTGTTTCCCGACACGTCCGAACTTAATATCCTCCGCAAATAAGAAAAAAATATCCATTCGTTATCCAAGTTTCAGTTTTCTCAGGCAATAACACGTAAAATATTCCGTTATACCTTTTGCGTTGCTACGGTTAGACAACTCCTGAATAATATTATCAAATAGCTTGGAATTATTCAAATAATACGCAGTTAATTAAGAATACAATTAAGACCATGCGACTCGCTTATCTTGAGAGTGGCATTAAATCCACTTTTGAAGCTTCATGAATTTTGATGATACAAATTGATATAAATAGCGATAATAATAGTCATGCAGATTGCAGATTTTACGTGAGATTTCGATGTAAGAAGCATATGCATTAATATATTCCTTACAGATGAGCTCGTAGTATCGAACGTGCCCGCTCGTTCCAGTTCTTATCCGTGCCCGTATGTTTAATGCTTCCTATGATAAAGTGGTCAGTGCTACTTTGCTCGTACATCGGAAACCAGTACGATGAATTGTACACATAAGAATAGTAAGTAGAGCATCGAGCGTGTCGCGAGGTCGATGTATGGCAAAATGCATTTCCACGATTTCATTATTAACTTTTAACTGTTTCCGTGATACATGACAGATTCTTCATATTCCCTCGATACATTTTTATCGCTTTTATCTACGTTTTTATCTTCGCTTTTATCTTTGTTATCGAAGACACGTTTTCGATATATCTATTTTCTTACTATAATACGCTATATATAAATTATGCGTGATTACGTTAGACGTGAAAATAAGACACAAGCTCTTCAAAAATGTATTTATATCAGAAATTAAATTTACGAGTTATAATAGCCGGAAGACTTTTTGTTCATACGTTGCGCGAGAAATTAATTGAACAAATTAGTTTTAACATTTTGCGAAGTAATTTATATATTTTGAAATTGCAATTTATTATACGACGTAACGTTATGCTAACGTAAACATTAATTCGCGCGGATATCAGCAATCGCGGTTCATGATGAATGCCACGAAATTGTTGGAAACGCTAATTATATAAAAAATAAAAGTCGTTTTTCTCGACCGAACTGGCCAAAAACAATTTTATTCTTCACAACGTTTCGACCACATTCTGGTCCTTATCAAGTGAATTAGAACCACGCACACAACATTTTTTAATTCGCTGACATTAGTGCCCAAACCATATCATGCAATCGCAAATCTAGAATCGCAAAAACGCAGTAGTCAATAAGATAAAATCATGACAAGTTACCAAGTCTATAACATAAAGTGAAAATCTATACCAAAAAGTAAAAATAAGATAAAAGAATTTGAATTAAATAAGTGTAAATAAAATAAGTTAAGTTAAAAGGTCAAAAAGTAGTCAAATTAGGTAGTCACAAAGATAAAAACATGAAAAGTTACCAAGTCTATAACATAGAAATAAAATAAAAGAATTGAATTAAATACGTGTAAATTAAATAGGTTAAATTAAATGAGTGTAAAAGATACATACGTTGTGCGTGTCAAAAGACAGATTGTAGAGGGAAAGAAAAAGGCAAGTCATGTCAGAGAGCACATCCATACCTCTCCACAGTCAAAGTCGTACTGAGAGACACATAATAGGCGAATAACTAACTGTGCTCACGGACAAAACAAACCGGCAAACCTAAGTTGCGTCAATAACTCGGTTGTAATTCGCTGGTAAATTTTCGGTGTCTTTTTGTAGATTGATTGCGCTGTCACATTTCTTAATAAAAAACATCTCAGAGATTTCACGCTTCTTGAACTGTCTTTCCTTGTATAAAATTTTTGGTTGTTGCCAATTGAAATCATGTTTGTGAGTGAGACGGTGCTTACTCACGACAGAATGATTATCGCTATTTTTCCTAATGTCGCAAGCATGTTCCTTAATACGCGTCTCTAAGTGTCTTTTTGTTTGACCGATGTATGCAGCGTTACAATTAGCGCAATCAATCCTGTACACTAACTCAGTTTGTTTAAGATTCGGTAACTTGTCTTTCCCCTTTTTTATGATGCAGTCTAATTTCTTCGGAATAGTGAGCAGCACTTTAAATTCCGCATCGCGCATTGTGCGGCCGACGTTGTGGCTTAGGCCTTTAACATACGGAATGGTTATAAATTTTCGAGGATCCCGAGCCAAGCTATCGCTGTTGGAATTATTAGAATTGTTGTGACGCGTCCGCAGCTCATTAAGTCTGATATTGATGTATCTGTTGATAACTTTGTTCGGATAACAATTGTTTGAAAGAATCTTTTTTATTTCGCTTAAGTTATTCTTGTGGAAACGCGTGTCAGATATTATATAGCCGCTAATTATATAGCCGGTAACAAACTTTCGTATTCGCCCAATGCTCGGCTTTCCGCCAAGTTTTTACCTTGGATTTATGCAAAGTTTTTCAATAAGCCCGATTCGACCGCCGCGCCGCGCGCTTCCCCCGAGAGTTCGTCGTCGTTCCATTCTCTTGGTTTCAAACTTTTATTTTCGTAGAGTAGCTTCACTACAGTTACTAGTAGGGTTCGTCACCTAAAAATGGATTCGAGGGACTCCGCCGTTAAATCCGGGCACGGGGAAACGAATGTCTCCAAATCCGTCGTCCGTAGTCAAATGGATGCTATCTCGTTCACTTCTCTTTCACGTACTTTTGCGAAAACTTAGCGAATTTGCCGGGATTGTCGCAAGTTTTTCGATAAATTTCCTCATCCTAAATCTCACGTCGACCCCTCGCTAAAAATCCCCAACCGTTATTTCGCCGAGAGCGCATTTAAGTCGTCTTTTAATGCGGGTGTTAATGCCACGTACGAATATTTACAGCTGATCCTTCGCAGGGGTACGCATATATCTTAGTTCTTTGGTAAAATATAATGCAGTTACATAATGCAATATAACGTGAAAGTTATGCGACGCAAATAGAAGTTCATGCTCGTTACAAGCTTGTCACATTAATTTGTGTTGCGTGCGTTACACGACAGAATGATGAAACATTCTAAATGGGCTCAGCCTCCAAATATTTTTGCAACTTTATGCTACATGAAGAAAATTAAATAAAATTAAACATAGTGAATTGCGTCAAAATAAATTAAATTTTATATTTTGTTTTCTTCTAATATTTTAATATATACATATATATTATACACATTGCGTCTAATAATATAGGTATACATATTTCTACTGGATCAAATTTTAGTATATGTTATGTAATATTATGCCAATCAATTTATTTATTTGGTTCTATTATATTCGCCTACACTACAGGAAATGTATTACACAAATTTCGAATTTGTACGTTATTTTAAATTATTTTTGCCTCTCTCTCTTTCTTTCTCTCTCTCTCTCTCTCTTTCCCGTCTCTTTCTTTTCTTTTCGTCCCTTTCGTGTCGTCGCATAGTCCTCGGTTTTTACTGCAACCTATACGTGCCTAGAAACTATTTCGATACTTCACGCTTTGAATGTTATTTTCATGGATCTCCATTTACTTATAAGAACAGTCGTCGCCTAAAAATGGAATAAAAAAACTTATTATTAATCCTGAGCATGCGAAATAAACGTCTCGAAATTCGACTTGTCGCTGCATACGAATGAACGTAACTTTTTTCGCCCTCTCTAAAGCACCGGTTGTTAACCCACATAGAAATTATCTTACTCACTTGCCATTGGATTCATTCCAAGTCGGGCAACGACTTCCGGTTTGTTCTTCCGCCATTCACGATGAGTTTTTGAATTTGGTCAAATATTTATGAACTTTCTCCGATAAAAATTCGGCATACCTGTGTTTGCCGGAAGTCCCACAGTTCACAGAACACAGCCTGCTTTTATTTTACAGCTACAAGGGTTCTCAACTTGTTTTAGAATATTCTAGATGATTTTCTTGATGAAGATAATATTAATTATTGTATTGTATAATAATTTCTTCCATTTTTTATTAAAAGCTGTATATACATTAAAAGTCAATTTTAAAGTTAATTTTTATTGTAAAAATCAGGCTTGGAGATTTGATAAAAATGAATAAATTAGCTGTGAAACTATACGTATAGCGTATTTTCCTTACATGGAAAAATACGTTGTATTTTAAACTTGGATTTATGTTACGGTTTGAAATAAATAATATGTAGTGCTTATTTGGAGCCTTCTTGTCACCAGGAAGGGGACTGATGAAGGGCGATTTGAAGGCGATAGACGCGGCACTAAGCAGCTGTGTAAATTGGTTCGTTTCCCTGAAACTCCTACGTCGGTTGGACGTGTGTAAATCCATCTCTTTTTTCTGACAAGATTTACAAGCGAGTCGCTTATTGCTTATTCATACACCGTCTAGGAAAATTCGAAGGGTTCCCTTTTTTCTCTTGTCCAATCTATACGCTATTTATTATATCTTCGACAATTTGCTACTTTCATTTCGGTTTTTATTATTAGATAGTTATTATTAGATAGGTTAAAATCGGATAAGTTTATTATTTAAATAAATCCAGCGTATTGTTGTTAGATTGCAACTTCACGCAATATTTACGCGAGTGAGTAAAACATTCGAGTGAGTAAAACAGTCGTCGTGCAAACTCAACGATTGTTTTATGTATGTGTATTATAGCAGAAGCAATAATTCTTATCCACGCGCGGATTGCAAACACGTTTGTCGTAATGTATCACTGAATTGATATATTGCAATAACTTTGAGGAATCACGAAAATTGTTGTCGAACATAGCAATACATATCTGTATTTTGTGATTTATTATTCCCTACAGATATATATATAAAATACAAATCTTACCAGGAAAATTTATTTCAGATCGATTGATATGTATAATATATACTGATCAAAGAAAACAATATCCTTTATGTACGTTCCCAAAATTTTCCTTTAGTACAAAATACGTAAAGTAAAATTTACTGTGATAAATTTAAATTTAAATTATAATTATTTTTTCTAGTTGCTAGTTGTACTCCATGCAATTTTTTTTTTTTTAATAATAAACACCAATATTTTAATCTAGTTCTTAATAATTCGCATATTAATGTAATTAGATACAATCGTAAATTATCATTAATTGTTGATTAATTAAAAGTAATATGACATCAAAATGCATAACATTACGGGAAGTAATAAATTGTTAAAAAGGGCGCCCTCAAGCAGGATATTTTTTTACAGGCTATTTACGGTCCTAATCTCATTGTAGCGATGATAACCCTTATCCGTGCGATAGTTCTCATGTACCCTTGAATTGCATATGCATAATTGCATACGAGGCACTAAGTGACCGACCAACAGCGTTATTGCGAGACAGTGTGTCGTCGTCGTGTTGTCGGTGCGATGCATATCAGCGTAATAGCTTTGCGGTTGCAAGCAAGATCCTCGATGATAAATCTTCTAACCACTAATCGTTAACGAGCGATTTTTGGTCCTCTTATCGGTACTCCGATTTGGCACAGGTCGATGCACCGTCGCAAATGCCCGCTTATCTCTGCGGTCACGCTTGAACGTACATAAACCTTGGCGAGCGCACGACACGATTTTGCTTTCGGCAGCGTTTACCTTGCATCCTTTTATGTAGTTTCAAAAGAGCAGAAAAAAGTTCAATTAAAAGGGTTGCCTTGATCTTCTCGAAGCTAAAGTGATGTTTTTAGTGAAACTCGCTTAACCATATTGAAGCAACGAAACTTTAATGAAATACCTTCAATTAAAATGAAAAGTTTAATGTACTATTATAACTCGTGGAATTTATAAATTTTAATTTTTAATTATAAATATTAATGAGATATTTTTGGAACTATACAAACTTGTTCAGTTTTTAAAAAAATTTTTTTTTTATTTTAACTTGTAGCCATGATGATTTCATTTGCCTTCGATATTCACTTCTTCGATACGATCTCGTCGAGTTACGCAAGGAGAAACTTTCTATCCTCTCTCGCTAACGGTAGGCGCCCATTATTCTCAACGTCGTTCAGACCTCAATCTTGGTAAACGTCCCACCTAACCAACGTACATTCACGTCTGATTTGCAATCGCAATTTCCACTTACATCCCGTCAGATCCGGCTCTTTCTTTTTCCGCGGTACGGCGACATCCCGTCGCCGTCGCCGGGGTTATTATTCACGGGCTTACCCCTTGTGCAACAACTCCCGTATATTCGCTACGTTTTCCTTCTGCCACGCAAATTCGCGTGTCCCGCGGCGGTACAACGGAATTATCTTCGGTAGACGGTGGTGCATGACAGACGGCACACCGCGTTGGTGGCGCGTTAAACTAGCCGATCTATTTGTTCGTGCCGCAAAGCAAAGTTTGCCACGCTTTCGGCGGCGTCTCGTTATCCATTCGTTATCTGCTTTCGGCACCGCAATTTCGCAACGTTTCATGATTTTGCACTAGACTGATCGTTTTCTAGACTTCTTGCAACAACATGACGCTGCAATCTCAGGAATCTATAGTCTTTTCAGAATAAACATTTTTACAAGACACTAAATTGTATATGTATGCATGCATGCATACACACACACACACACACACACACACACACACACACACACACACACA